AATCGCAATACGTATCACACTATCATGTATCGTTTGGCCGATTTTTCATATCGAATCGTAAGATACAAAAACATAATAAAATAATTTAAAAATATATAACTTTTTATGAATTTTATCGAACCGTGTCATAAGTTACATCCTTCTGTTTTATGAGTCTTTATGGCTGGATTCATTTATTTTATTTATTAATACTGATTTTTCAATTGATTTTTGAGTTAAATCATAAATCAAATCTTTATTTTGTTTTCCTTATTAATAATAATCTTTTAATTTAAACCACAAAACAAATCTTTATTTATTTTTCATATTAAAAATTAAAATTTTTGATTTTTTTAATTCAAATCACAAATCAAATCTTTATTTATTATTTTATTATTTTTATATCATTATTGCAAATTTGAACTGTGTTTGTGAGAGATGAAATATATCAAATGAGATGTCATTGCGTAGATCTTGAAGAGTTTTTTGGAAACAAAATTCGGATACTCGAGTCAAAAGTTATGGCTTTCTAAAGTTTTACGGTTTGTGTTACAGCTTGTTGTACACTGGTATTGTTAACATTTATTTATGATATTAATCGCAGTTACAATCACAACAGTTCATTTATAAAAATGCGAATAAACTTTTTCCGATTATTACGCGAGCATTTAAAACAATAAAAAGCTTGTTATAAAAAAAAAAACAATAAAAAGCGTAATAGTTCAAAGCTGTGACCGTAACTGTAAACTCTTGCGGAATACTTATTTTAACTACTTTTACATCTTACTTTACTTATTATAAGTTACTAAGGGGTTCTCATAAACCCACTTAGCCAATTTCGCAACTTTACGTTTTTACCTTTTCGAACAAGGTTCACTACTTAATTTTCTGCGAACACACCGCTCACAACCAGACCTTTCTTTCAAATTATATTTTTGTCTTACTTAATTCCATTTCTAATAAGCTATCACACACTTTAATCAGAGCTCGTTTGCTCCGGTTATCGCCGTTTGAAGTTGGACAAACAAAACAGCCAACCAACCCCAAAACAGCTCAAAACACCTCTCACTCCATGAATTACTGCAGCAAATCCTCTCACCCAATTTCTCTCAAATTTTTATGATACAAACTAGACACCTGAAGCTTCGATTTAATATATCATACGCTTAATTTGACTGAGAAACGAAGCGGGAATTAATTTCCCAAAAACTGCTAGAAACAGCCCCTGCATAAGGGGGTTCTGGACAGTCCGTGTTCTTTTAATCATACAGGGCTGCGTGCAACCCAGAATTTTCTCATATTTTAACACCATGTAGGGTACATCTCAAGATTTAAAATGACATATGGTACGTCCCTATCGGACCTCTGTGGAGGGAGATATGCTCTCCCGAAGTTCGTCTAAAATCTGCCAATTCTACAAAAAATTCGCCAGAGTTTCCTTTGTTTTTCTTAAAATCCGCAAATTGAAAATGATCACTAACAAAGCTCGCCTCTGCTACTACCGTACATACCATAGATTTGTTTACAACTTTTACTTATAATACAATTTTCTTTTAACTTTCATCAAAAGTCAGACAAAATATTTAAGTCTGTTTTCCCTTAAGTCCTCTAATATTCATATTTTACTTACTGCCATCTCTTGTCCATGGAGCAGTCAACACTGCATCCACAACATCAGGCTAAGGACTTACATTCGATGCTCCAGGGTTGCCACGCAGGCTTCTTACGATGACCACGTATGTAACACAAAGGAATGGGTTGATCAGACCCACACTAAGGAATCACATATGCAGTAATCGATAAGAATCTACATACAAGCATACAACACATAACACAACTATACACTATCAGAGTTCCCTAACAAAACTGCTCTGATACCATAAAATGTAACAGCCCGTTGTACACCGGTATTGTTAACATTAATTATGATATTAAGCGCAGTTACAATCACAGCAGTTCATTTATAAAAATGCGAATAAACTTTTTCCGATTATTACGCGAGCATTTAAAACAATAAAAAGCGTAATAATTAAAAGTTGTGACCGTAACTGTAAACTCTTGTGGAATACTTATTTTAACTACTTTTACATCTTACTTTACTTATTATATGTTACTAAGGGGTTCCCATAAACCCACTTAGCCAATTTCTCAACTTTACGTTTTTACCTTTTCGAACATGGTTCACTAATTAATTTTCTGCAAACACACCGCTCACATCCAGACCTTTCTTTCAAATTATATTTTTGTCTTACTTAAATCCCTTTCTAATAAGCTATCACACACTTTAATCGGAGCTCGTTTGCTCCGGTTATCGCCGTTTGAAGTTGGACAAGCAAAACAACCAACCAACCCCAAAACAGCTCAAAACACCTCTCACTCCACGAATTACTGCAGTAAATCCTCTCACTCCAATTGCTCTCAATTTTTATGCTACAAACTAGATACCTCAAGCTTCGATTTGATATATCATATGCTTAATTTGACTGAGAAACAAAGCGGGAATTAATTTCACAAAAATTGCCAGAAACAACCCCTGCATAAGGGGGTTCTGGACATTCCGTGTTCTTTTAATCATTCAGGGCTGCGTCCAACCCGGAATTTGCTCATATTTTAACACCATGTAGGGGACATCTCAAGCTTTAAAATGGAATATGGCACGTCCCTATCGGACCTCTGTGGAGGGAGATATGCTCTCCCGAAGTTCGTCTAAAATCTGCCAATTCTACAGAAAATTCGCCAGAGTTTTCTTTGTTTTTCTTAAAATCCCCAAATTGCAAATGATCACTAACACCTCAAATGTACCTAATAATCCAATGGGTGGCACACACAAGTACCAACAATGCCTTGGGGCACTTACAACCTAACTCAATTTATAGTTATTACACAATTCATATTATATGGCTCACTTTATAATTCCTTAACTCATTTCAATCACCAAGTCCATTTACATGCAATTTCTCAACATAAGCATATAATCATAATTCTAACATAGGCCTAAAGCCCTTCCATCATATTACATCAATATTCAGGCATACTTACAACATCTCATTTAAATATAACAACGTACATAATCATAACTTGAATTTACAACTTGAAATATGAACTTGAATTTACAGCTTTAAACATAACATCGAATGACATAATAACTAACTAGACTTAGGAAAAATATATATATCATGAACAAATAATGACAATGCTCCCATGACTCGTCCTACGGGCTTCTTGCCCGCCACTCCTGTGCCACTGCTATCTCTTGAAATAAATGCCCCAAGACGGGGTGAGATATATGAATATATCTCAGTAACCCAGAGGTTCTGGAGAAAACTCCGCCCAATGGTTCACTTCGATGCATATAAGTAATATAAAACAACCACTTTCAAAACGGGATATAGCAAGGGATTTAGCGAAACTAGGGAATATCGGGATATAAAATACGACGAAGCTGGAATGGTAGCTACCAATACCACGCAACGTCCTCGGCATATAAGCTACGGGTATCATCCAAGGTGTGTTCCAAGAACCACAACCAAGGTACCCCTTCCATCCATATACACCCGAGACATTCCTAGTGTGTTCCTACCCGGATGACACACCACGACCCTAGGTCAACTGGAACTCCCTCTCGGAGACCTATCCAGTGGAGCACATTATAACATTCCTCCAGGTTTCTAAGAGCAACATTGCTCCTAATTTCAAGGAGAAACTTGGTCCATATGAGAAGCAGATCTCAAATTTCATAAATGTAAGTAGGACTAGTAAAGCAATGTCTTCACTGCAGCCAAGACAGCTTCCCCCTCCCCATATGCACTCCTTGTCAGAGTCACAATCCCAAGTTACTCAAGTGCAGTCTCATGAAAATCAAATGAACACTCAGTTGCAAACGACAAATATACAAGGTTCTGTAGCAACAATGCAACAGAATAATATGACAAGCATGCAACATAATTCACTGTCTGGGTTATCCACGACACAACAGAATATGATGAATTCAATGCAAACTAGCACTAATTTGTATTCAGGACAAGGAAATGCTATGAACTCCCTACAACAGGTTCCAATGATCTCCCTTCAACAAAACCCTGTTAGCGCTCCTCAACAAACTAATGTTAACTCCTTATCTTCACAAGCTGGGGTAAACGTGATCCAACCAAATCTTAATCCCCTTCAGCCAGGTTCAAGTATACTTCAACACCAGCAACTAAAACAACATCAGGAAGAGCAGATGTTGCAGAGTCAAAAATTCAAACAACAATATCATCAGTTAACTGCTTTGGATGCTTCTGATTTGGAGTCAACTGCAACATCTAGTATCAAGAAGCCAAAGATTGCGGTACTAAATTTTTTTTAGTTGTTACATTTTATTTTATAATTGACATCTTTTACTATCAGTGTCTTAATTTTTGGGCTTGCCATTGCAATTATTAGTGGCCATCAACACATTGAATATATATGCACCAACACATTATGTACATTACTTTTCACCCTTTCTTTCAATTAGAATGTTTTTCCCAGCTAAAAGTTTATGCATTTTGATATTTCTGACTACAAGGATTTAGATTCAAAAAATGCAGCAAGTTCAATTTACAGATGTGTAGAAAAGAACAATTTTATATTGTCATTTAGATAGTGAAACAAATCATGTAAGGACTATATATCAAAATTCTCTGGCGATTTCCTGCTACCGGAATCAACCAATTGAATTAGAGCTTTTGATGCCTGAAATTCAAACACAATTAGTACAACACACAAGATACCGGCTGGGATAAGTTATTTGCAACTACCAATATTTTGTACATGTATCAAAAGATAGAAAATAATTTGTACCATTGATTATGATGTATTCAGGACATTGATGTATGGCTCTTAACTTATAAAGTAAAAATTTCAGATAGGAATTACTGAAATAGATTTTCTCTTTTGATATTAATTGGATCAATTTAATAAGTAAACCTGTCTTTTAAAGATTCAAGGGTTACTAAATGGTAGAGTAAAATAGTAACATTCACAATCAATCAAGAGAAACAACTATAGCAATGGTAATATTGGTTGTAGTAGCATGCAACAATAGCAATTATACTTCTTGTTAATTTTTAATTAGTTTGATTCATAATTTCTCTCATTTTTACAAACAATCATTATCCTCCCCATTTAAGAACAATAATCAAGGGTGACATGAGCTTAGAATATGGAACCTATTTGCTGACTCTCGTATTAGGTCTTGAATTGTTGACCTGGGTATTCAATTGGATTCATTATAGAATGACCAGGATTTTGCATGTTCTGGATTAGCCATGGACATCCGTTTCATTGGAGCATGATGATTCATCAGATAATAGGTTTAAAAGTAATTCTAAAGTTAGGATTGTGAGGGAATCACTTTAAAGTTTATGGATTTTCTCTAGACAGTCTTTGATTGCTGATAATGAATTTGTGTGTCTTATATGGCAGGCTAATCATGCCCTTTTGGAAGAAACTAAGGAGGTTAATCAGCAACTTACTGACACTATAGTAGACATAAGCGATGAAGAAGTTGACCCAACTGCAGCAGCTGCTGCTGAAGGAGCAGAAGGGACCATTTTCAAATGTTCTTTTAGTACTGTGGCTCTCAGCCCAAGCTTAAAATCCCAATATGCTTCAGCACAGATGGTGAGCTCTCAGAACTTTTAAACCATATACATCTTAAGTATTTATTTTTCTTTCTTGTAATAAAACTTTATCTTTATTTGAATTTTACTACCATGCAGTCACCAATTCAACCCCTGCGCTTAATTGTGCCTACAAATCATCCTAATTGTTTCCCCTACTACTTGACAAGTTTCCAGTTGAATCCAGGTAAGAGAGTAAACATTTTGGCATCTCTTATGTGTTTGTTTGTTTTTTTCTTTAACTGTATGTTATTTTCCAGTTGACTCCAGGTAAGAGAGTAAACATTTTCTTTAACTGTATGTTATTTTTCTTTAACCTCATTTTGGCATCTCTTACTATGTGTTATTTTTCAGTTGAATCCTAATTGTTCCCCCATAGTAATCTAGATCTTCTTTCAATTGTGTGATGATAATGGGGTTCTGAAGTTGTATTTTGGCATGTTTCTTCTAGTTATATTGGATGCATATTGAGTGTTTGATGAAAAGTTAGCCCGAGTGAAAAATGAGTAGATACTGTCCTTAGTTACTAGATAACATGTCCGCACTAATTTGGTGATAACTTGAGCTAGAGTTGTTGAAATTGAATGAATCTTGTGGCCACTTAAAGCTAATTGGAAGCTCTGAGAGTATGAAAATTTTTTAATGACAGGTTTGTCCCCAGATTTCATTCGAAGTTTGTTGTCCTATCTGTATAATCCATTTTTCAACAACAGTCTTAAAGCACGCATATCTCGATCTATACTAATCCAAATTGTATGATCTATATACCATTAGAAATCCCTAGATGTCTAGTTTCATGTGTTCAAATTTAAAAATTTATGGATATTAGATGCATTCCTAGTTATCGTTCAAAGTCAGCTGTTCTATCAGTACACCCTATTTCTGAACAGCAGTCTTAAAATAGGCATATCTTGATCTATACTATCCAAATTGTATGATCTATATACCGTTAGAAATCCCTAGTGCCTACTTTGACCTATCATAAATTCAGAATTTTGGTAACAAAAATGCCTTCCTAGTCTTTGATATAAGTTTGTGGGCCAAAAGCCCAAACTTGTGTTCCTTGTTTTAATATGCTGAAATCTTGGATTCTCCTATATGTAATCGTGTTTATAAAATTTATATTGGAACCGTGGATAAAATAGTATGTACGAAACTGGCCTTATGATGGAATCACACAGCCATGTGCCATGTGATTGCATATATGTAAGTTGTCCTATGTGCTTTATATGAAAGACAAAGTGATTGGATCTGTCATGTTATAGCCAAACCAGCCATGTGATTCTTTATGGTATGAGTTGAAAGGAGAATTAAACTTATGGCACAACTTTAACAGGGAATTACTTATGACTATCTTTCATACTAAAAGATGAGAATTTTATAACAAGTGAGTCACGCCCAGTAACTAGAAAACAGAAGCATGTACAATTATGGAAAAACCGTAAAAGTGATATTTAAGCTAAGTGGGCTTAGGGGAACCCTTAGTAACTTATAATAATCATAAATATGACTGGGATGAGTTGAAAATAATCTAAGTGAGCCTTGCATGTGATTCTAAGCTATGTAAGTAATTGAAGATTAAAGTGGCTTGTAATAATGCACTAAAATATGTAATAAGTAATAATTGGTCTAGGCTTGTAATGGGCATATTATTGGCATATGAGTATGAAAAGTGGAATCATTAAATACTCTGGGAGCTATTTCATACTGAGGTTGTGTTGACTGTCTATGGCTTGACCCTGGAAGTCACACATGTGTAACCGTCTATGGCTTTGACCCTGGGGTTACACAAGGATGATATGATGATGCTATGTTTATGCTGTATGTCTGTATTATATATATCTGACTTGTTATGCAGGAAGTGGGCTCAGGGGTTAGAGGATCCTCTATGAACCTTGAGCTTACTGAGATGTTGTTATCTTACCCCGTTTGGGGACATCATTTCAGGTACCCAGAGTAGTGGTGATGCTTCTAGGGGCAAGGCCCCCGCATTGGAGTAGTTGATGATGCAGCTGATGATTTTATATTATGTTTAGATTTGATGTTGGCATGTAGACTTGTTAACATGCTTAATTATTTTATGGAGATTATTGTATGTATTTATTTAGGCTCATGATAGTATTCTTAGAGCCATGGATTATTTACTGATACTTTTATACTTCGAATTAATATAGACTTGATGCATGTATTCAGTTAATTTGGGCATGGAGCCTTATTAGTTGTATTGACCCATTAAGGGGATTGCAGTCCGTGTGGGACTTGCAAGCTATCTGTTTAAATTGTTGTATTAATTAGGTTATCTGTATATGTAGAATCATGTTTCTAGTTATCCGAAATACAGCCGTTATGCTGTCCGTGAGACTCCGTCAGGAATGACACTTGATGTCATATCTTGATGGTCAATGGCCACTAATACTGGCTCATGGGATTAATTAGTAGATGTATATTTAGATTTACGCTTTCGCAGTATCTGACGTGAACGTTTTTAGAAATGTTTTTATGAAATGTTTTGGAAAAAGTTTACTCGTATTTTTATAAGATGCTTTATTCCTTTTCAAATAAAGTCTTCCGCTGTGAATGTTAAATATCATGTATGTTAACAACCGGAGTACTACGGGGTGTTACATTTATGGTATCAGAGCAATTTCACCGGGACGTTCACTGATGTATTGCTTAAGTGTTAGAACTGTTTATTGAGTGTCTCTTGAGTGTCATGATATTGCATATGCTATCACTTGATTGAGCGTAGCTAACTCATACCTCGTGCAGTTTTGTGTAGTGACATGGCACCTCGAGGGAGACCCAGGCGAATAGTTCAAATCCCTCCTCCTGATCCTATTGTTGCAGCTATAGCAACATTGCAGCAGACCCTGAATGAAACCAGGGAAGCTGATTTGAAAAGAATCGAAGAGGCCAGAGATCGCGATAGAGAGCAGCTAAGAAAGGCCAGTGAAGACCTTATGGCGCAGAATAGGCTGGCCAATGCTGAGATGATCCGACTACTGTTGACAGAGGTACGAGGAGGACCTCCACCACCTTCACCACCTCCTCCACCGCCAGTTACACCACATGTGCAGCAGCAGGTTGCACGTGCTGCTGGTCCCGTACAGATTCTTGAGCCTGTTGTGCTGGGACATGAAGGGTCAGGAGAGGCCCATCAGGAGGCGGAGGCATCTGTCCATGAAGGACTAGTGAGGCAGCCAATTATTGAGGTTGATAGATCAGCTATACCACCCAGGTTTGACCGGGATACTAGAGAGCGTATGCTGAATGCTTTCAGGAAGCATTCCCCACCTCACTACAAAGGTGGAAGAGATCCCATTGCAGCATTGGAGTGGCTCCAAGAGATGGAGCGTATTTTTCAGGTTATGGAATGCGATGCCAACATGAAGCTCCTATATGCGGTGTACATGTTACAGGGGGATGCTGCTGACTGGTGGAGTAATGTTAGAAACCCACTTGAGTGCCAAGGTTATGCTATTACTTGGCCATTATTTGAGAGGCATTTTCTGCAAAAGTACTTCCCTGAAGAAGCCAGGGAAAGGAAGAAGAGTGAGTTTGAAGACCTCCGGCAGGGAGGCATGACTGTGGATGAATATCTCAGCAAGTTCAACCGCTTGGCAAAATATTCTTGTTATGGTAGAACTCCCCTCACTCCAGAAGACAAGGCCTTTCGATTCAGGAAGGGTCTGAATGATATGATAGCAGACAAACTGGCGGGTCATTGCACCAGAAATTTTGTGGAGTTGATCAAGCAGTGCCAGAATATTCAGGAGCACTATCCCCTGGAAGGGTAAGGGCAAGGGTTTGCAAGCACAGCAGAACACCAAGTTTAAGAAGACTCCCTTTGTGAAGAATGGAAGCGGAATGTTTAGTGCAGGGAAGATTCCCACTTGTGCCAAGTGTGGGAAGATGCATACAGGTGTTTGTCGACTGGGGCAGAATGTTTGCTTCAGTTGTGGTCAGGCAGGTCATTATTCCAGAGAGTGCCCCAAGAAGACGGGGCAAGT